TGCATATCTCGCAAGCAGTGTAACTCGATGCAAGTCTACAATTTTAATTTAACAAACTTGGCATATGTCGACAATTACAAATACCTTCGCATGCTCATTTCCAACAGTCTCACATGATTGGAACACATCACACACTTAGTTGCTGACGCATCAAAAAAGCTTTGTTACATCTAAAAAACTTTATGCCTCCTCCTACAGTCTGTAAAATCGCGAACGTAACCTTTGTTCATACAAAGCTCGAATATGCGTCTTTCATTTGGAGCCCTCATCATACCTATGTGATTAATCTGTTGGAATCTGTTCAGAATAGGGCTGCCCGGCTTATCACGTCAGATTTCAATGTCTCATCGAGCATTACTTTAATTAAGGAGCCTTTAGACTTTCAGAATCTAGCTAATAGACGTATGGTTTGTCAACATTATTTGATAAGTTATTCTTTCCCTCACTTGCATGACTCTCTCTTACTTCCTCTTGCCAGCTACTCTCGGCGACTGTATAATTCCCGAAGTCTGCAATGTCCTTTTGGTAGCACCGCTGCTTTTAACAATTCATTGCTTCAAGGAATGGAATAACTTACCGGAAGCCATCGTCACGAAGCGTGACTCGTGCGCATTCAAACAGCTACTAACAGCTCGCTTAAACTTGGAGGCCCATTAAAGCTCTACCACCGTCACTGTATGTGTACATTTTGTGCATGCATGTTTTATGTTTGTATAAGCAAATTTTTTAGTTCGGTTCTCGGGTCCTGCAAAAGTATTGCTCATGTATTCATACTTTCTTACTTTCTTTGTTTTCCTGTATCTACTAAAACGTTCTCCCCCTTTATGTAATGCCCCCAAGGGGCCCTTAAGGGTCAAATAAATGACTCTAAATAATGATTGCAGCTGCTATCTGAGCGCGGAAGCGTCGCTGTTTGCTTTCAACTTGCCGGCGCGTGAAGCATTCGATATGCCTCGAATCAATTTGCTCGTTGCTCAATATTGTAACGCCCGACGTCAACGACTAACACGTATGCAGCTGACGAAACTGAACTGTGCTCGCACTACCTTCGCCTCGTAGAAAAAAAGCACGCGCTGCATTGGTCTGCTGGGAAAGGCGGGGTTTTCGAAAATAGTTGCCCCTTATGTCGCATACACAGGGTGACCCGCTTTTACTGGCGATTCCAAAATCTGCTACCAATTTTAAAACTTGTTTTAAAAAAACCAAATGACTTGTATACATAGCCTTCACAGATTACGAGAAGGTGTTTCATTCAGTAGAAATATTGGCAGTCATGCAGACACTGCGGAATGAGGGCGTCGATGAAGCATAAACATCCTGGAAGAAATCTACAGGGGATCAACTGCTACTATAGTGCTTCATAAATGATGACATTGCCGATGACATTGCATTGCTGAGTAAATCGGAGACAAATTGCAACTCATGATTGCGGAGTTAGACGAGGAGAGCACAAAAGGTGGGCCTTAAAATGAATCTGCAGAAAACGAAAGTAATGTACAACAACCTCGGAAAGAGCAGCGCTTCGAGATAGGTAATAGTGCACATCAAGTTGTAACAGACTTTATCCACTTAGAACAGGTAATAACCGCAGAGCCGAACCACGAGACTGAAGTAATACAAGAACAAGAATGGGGTGGAGCACATTTGGCAAGCATTCTCAAATTATGATACGTAGATTGCCACTATCCCTCAAGAGGAAGGTTTATAACAGCTGTATCTTGCCGGTACTTAGCTACGGAGGAGCTACGAAGCAGAAACCTGGAGACTTACAAAGAGGGTTCAGCTTAAATTGAGGACTACGCAGCGAGCAATTGAAAGAAAAATGCATGGTAGGTGTAACCTTAAGAGACAAGAAGAGAGCAGAGTAGATTAGGGAACAAACAGGGGTTAAGGATATCATAGCTGAAATCAAGAATAAATGGACATGGGCCGGGCATGTAGCGCGTAGACAGGATAACCACTGGCCATTAAGGGTAACTGACTGGATTCCCTGAGAAGGCAAACGGGTTCGGGGGATACGGAAGGTTAGGTGGGCAGATGAGATTAAGAAGTTTGCGGTATACTGGCCCGCTCGATCACACCACTCGAAAAAACGATTCCTTTCGGGATCGTCTTCCATATAAATATGAGGTACGGGCGAAGCTTGTGCCCATCTGACGTGTAACAGAGCATTGCCGTCACTGTAGTTTTACCGTGGACCGATGTCAGCACGCGAACTTGCTTTGCCCCCTTCTTCTCGACAGTTGTGGTGCCAGGCATGTCGAAGTAAAGAGGCGTCTGATCGGCATTCCAGATTTGCCCAAGCAGGTAGCCGTTGTTGCGCCGCAAGTTTAGGACGAACCTCTGAAAACTGTAAAGCTTTTCATCGTACTTCTCCGCAAAAGTTTTCGCATATGCATGTTTCCCTTCGAAGGGAAGAGCCTTTCCTCTTCATATAGTTAATTAGCCAGCACCTGCTCGCTTTAAACTGGCTCCGCATTAGACTTTTTTCTAAGACTAATTGCATAGCCCGCACTTGGAGCAGTTCTGTCGTCACGGGCCGCTGTGCCGCTCGGTCCTCAAGCACATACTCGCGGAGCAGCTCTTTAATTTGCGGAAACCGACCCTGCTGTGGCTCACTGAAGCCTTTGCGTGAAGCTTTGCTGTCGACAATCTTCTGCTTTTGTTTCCGCCGCCCCCGCACGCACGTTTCGGGAACGACCGCGATGCGGCCCGACTTCAGTCTGTTTCTGCACACGCGATGACTTTTCTTTTAAAAGCGGCATCGTGGTGCACTTGAGTTTTTGGAGTCGGCCCTTTCACGTCGTCGATGCTAATGCACTACTAGATGACGAACTCCTCAGCACACGTACGAAGTGCCGCACATGGTAAACACATAGGCAGAAATAGCCGACGCACCATGCCGACGCACGTAGGGGGCGGCCATTTTGGATTTGCGATGGCAATAGATTGACCGTAATTTTTTGTTCGTACTCGATTCTAACGCGCATGCGATTTATGAACTCGCTTAACCGGAAAAAAGGTGCGCGTTAGATTCGAGTAATTACGGTAAATTGGCAGCAGCAAGCACAGGACCGGGTTAACTGGCGGAACATGGGAGAGGCCTTTGTCCTGCAGTGGACTTAGTCAGGCTGATGATGGTGATGATGGTAGTGATGATGATGATGATGATGAAATGATTTAGGGTTGTATAATTCAATACACATAACCATGGTACCGGCGAGAACACGCATTCAATGTTTTATTGAAATCTGTGAATGTCGAAAAAACACTGACGTTTTTTTTTAAGAGTGAAACTAGGTGAAATGTCGCAGTGTCCACTAAAAAAAATGCAACTTTTGCGCCATTACTTATCACAGCCAAGGCGGCTAGAGAGAGCCATGTGCAGGTGCACTGGCTGCTCACCAGCTAGGTTTACCTCCGTCCGCTGTGCATGTGCAGAGGAGCAACCACCGCTGCCAATCCACGCCCACCAGTAGACAGTTTGGGCAGTCTCTGCGCCGAGTTCACTTGCTGTGGTGCGAGCAGAGTACCAGCGACAATAGGTGCAAGGCAGACTTGCACGTTAGTTCTAGCACTTGAGCTTGTATATTCTCGTGTGGTGGGGGACAGGCTTTGGTTCGACTGTCAACGCTAAGTTTACCCTACGACGCAACCAGGAAGGGAAGAGACTTCCTCCATTGTTCTTGCACACAAAGAGGCTACGGATGGGTTCCTCAGCTCTCCAACACGGGAAAGAGAAGGCACCCGAGACAGGTCGTCGACAAACGCTGGTTTATTAACCCAAGATACAGCAGTGTGTTAATCACGGGCCAGCAGGGAGACTCGGCAAGACAGAGTACACTATTCTGCGGGACCACGGCTACCACACAAAAAGGAACTACTGAAGTGCATAAACGAGAAGTCTCCCGCAAAGGCAGAGCACGACTTCCTCAGTTCTGTGTGTGCGAGCATCTGCCTGACGGCAAGCGACGGCCTGGTCATTGCTAGTTGCAGGGAGTAAGGCTGTCATAGGTGGCCAGTGAGGATCAGCGGAGCATCATATGTGCTAGTGCGTTGTGAGGAGGCGTTGACCTGGCATGTTGGGAGACGTGTGTCCGTGCAGGGAAAAAAGACCCATGACTTGCACCAGACCAAGAGGCCTGGTGACAAAACCACGCTAGTCCATGTTTAGGGTGCTGAAGCTGCATGCAGCCAGCACTCGTGCAAGCTGGGAGAATATGGCGCTAAAGGGGAGGGCACGATACATGGAGTTTTATGGGATCATAAACTGTACTAAAAACTCTGCTTTATAGCTGGTTGTGCACAATACGTGGTTATGCGCCGAGTACTCTGAGCTGTACGTGTACGGATTATTAGGGAATGCTTCTTAAGTGCACTTCATTCAGCTGTTTTAGTTCTCACAAATTCAGTTTTAGCACTTGACAATCCCTATAGCATCTTCCTGCTTTAATTTATTTTCTTCATTGCTCGTAATGCCTTTTTTCCTGCTCTGCATGCACTTTTGGCGGCTCGAAAAACTTTTTTCACTTTTCTAAAATACACTTAAGGCTGCTCCCAAAATCTTTTTCCTGCTGCTAAAGGTACTTTTTGCTGCTCTAAAAAATAGTTCTAAGATTACCCTCAGCCAACCTCATTATCACAGTAACCTCAGCTCTACATGTTTTGTTAACATATTTCTATGGTTTGCAGGATTTTGTAACATTTTGAAATGGTATTAGCTGACAATTCTTGTAAATGGCCCCCGCTCCTTCTGTCCCGACCCTTGAGGGACTAGCTGAGACGAGTTTGATACTCCTGTTTTAAAAGCATTAGCATTGTGTGCACATATCGGCATATTTAGCTTGGACAGGTCTCCACATTGCTCTGTGACATTTGGTTGAGTAACCACATGGTGTTGTATCACAGTTCACACTGTGTGCTTTTGTGCTACAGATTGAAGCAGTGGCTGCCGCCGCACAGCATTACCCCCTGCCCCCTTTTTTCTTTTGTCCATGCAGAGGAGCACTTGACGGTGTACAACGACACGCTCATGCTATACAGTGTGCCAGAGGACCGGTCCTACTATTGCAAGGTAGACCAGCCTGTTTACGTGGGTGCCAATGTCACTGTGGATGTGCTCAGTGCTCAGCTGCAAGCTTTTCGAAACGCCACAGCTGAGGCTGTCGGACAGTTTGGTGCAGGTATGTCGGCCTTTTTGTTGCGTTGAACAAGCATTTTCATAGTGTTGTGCATACTGTTAAGTGCTCAGTCTTCGTGGCTTTCATCTCTGGTTCATACATGGTTCAAATACCCACACTCTGTTGCGCTACGAAGTTGGCCTCATTGTTAATTCAATGCAATGGACTCGTCTTAAATGAAACTCGAAGGGGCACGAAAATTTATTAAATTTATGAGAAGTTTCATTTAAACAAAGCCTACAAAAATGAATGAAATATGACTTTATTTCAAAAGCACCAACTATGGGTGACTGAACAAAAACATTTTGAAGTACACACTACTTATATAGTATTACAAAGAAAACTGTTGCTAATATTGCTTACAGATATCTGTTTACAGCCACACTTTCTCCAGAAACTTTCTCCAGAAACTAGCTCTAGACAAAACCATGCCGCTTTTTAAAATGGCTCTGACAGCCATCGCGTACCCGCAAGTGCTCGATACCCATGGGAGTAGCAATCTCTCTGGCCTTCTCTTCAAAAATGGGGCCGCTGATCAGGAAGTTCGCACTGCGTGCACACTTGAATTTGAGAAAAAAAAGCACCTTCGATTTCTTCGTACACCGCCGTTCTCATCTGTATTTTGTCCATGGTGAAGTTCCCAAGCTTTGCAGCTTCTTCAATCTTCCCTTTGTTCTTGAGTATCCTCAACAGTGTGGACTTGCGAATATTGAAACTTCGCGATTTCTGTCTTTGATAGGTCGTTGCGGTCAAGTTCTGGAATAATTACTTTCCTTAACTCTTTCCTTACCGCCAGGAAAAGACCCGTTTTCATGTGGTGCAGAAAAAAAAGTTTATCGTTATATAACAATGTTTTTTTGTTGATTGTAATACACCAAAATGTTGACAAATAAATGCACTTTCTAATGATATAAATACAAAACATGTGTTTGCAACACAGTAGCAGAAAAAAAATCCCAAACAACAAATTTCTCGCAACTACCGCAAAAAAAATGTGGAAAAGTAAGCATGGTGGGCACAAATATCTCAGTAAAACAAATTCAAGATATACGTTTTGTGACATATTTACATAGCTAAGTATCCTAAAAGTTTCAACAGTACACATAAAAAATTGTTAGCACAGCAAAAAAAAAAGTTAGCACTTGTGATTACGGGGCAATTTTGTGAGGGTGCAAGAAAAAAAATTTTATCCGCAGATAAAAAATATTTTAGATGCTCTGCAGCCCATGAAAATGTAGAGGAATGAATGGTCTATTTATTTCAATAAATTTAGAAGTTATTATTACACAGTAAGAATAAAAAAATAACGAACAAAAAAATTCTCAAGTACACAATTTTTTTTTTTTCAAAAAAAAGTGGGTGTAACAAGCGAAAAGATGGCAATACAAATTCTGAATATACATTGGTTAGGTAGTAGTTGCTTCTAAAGACCACAGAGGTTACAAGAGTACACGTAAATAACTGTGAGACCACACAAAAATGTTTTATCCCTTGTGGTGGCGGTGCCACTCACCAAAACAGTCTCTGGTCGCGATGAAGCGCAAGTAAACGCCACACGTTTCACAAAAGACGCTCGTCTTGTGCTCAACCTTGCGGCTCGCATAGCAGAGCTTGCAGTTGCGCCTAGTTTCCATCACTTTTGGCTTGTGCGCAGACTCTCGAGGGGGAGGGGCGCTGCCAAAACCTGTGGCTTCAATTTCCAGTAGCTGCTTCACAAGCTCCATTCGGAAGGCAAGCTGGTCGTAACGAAGCGCTCGGTGCAGTTCTGAAATTTCGGGGTGCTTTCTCCTATGGGCCTCAAAAAGAATAAAACTGTTCACAACAGCGATGTCGATGCAGTGGAAGAACAGTTTTCCACCACCTGACGCACTTCATCAACACATTGTACGATGCGATGAGCTGGTCTGACCTGTCTACTCCAAGCATGCCTGCATTATATTCTTCAACTAGTCTTGGTTTCCTAATTGGGACCTTCTTCCATTGGCCAGCGACCTTTAGTTTTCTTCTTGCAGTCACATGGCTGTTCGCAGTATGGGCAGTGCTCATCATGTGCACCACGCGTCTGTCCTTCCATTGAAGATACAGGACGCCTTGATGCCGCAGCCAGCGAACATCTCCCCTCTTGGCCTTTTTCTTCCATGTGGAGTCCTTCAATTCCGCAGGGAACGTGCGACGATCCTTCCGTGTCGTTCAACAAGCAAGTTTTCCGCTCCAGGAGGTATAAAAAAAGACGTGGACGTGTAAAAATTGTCCATGAATAGTGTGTATCCCTGGTCAAAATACATTTCACACAGGCTAGTCACGACATCAAATGCGAGTCCATTTACGCTCGGTGTCTCGCGCTTCCCGGTGTACACTAAACTGCACTGTGTAGCCGGAATTGGAGTCGGCGAGGACCCACAGCTTGTATCCCCACTTGACAATCTTGTCGCGAAGATACTGTCGTATTCCCGAACGGCCTTTGGATTTCACCATTCTTTCGTCGACGGAAATGTCACGGTCTGGCTGGAAATGGAGCGCAGATACATCATTGATGTGCCGAAGTAAAAAAGCAATTCGGTGCAGCTTGCCGTCTGTAGCGGGATTGGTAGCTTCATGATCCGTCACGCTCAGCATACAGAGGAAGGAGAAAAAACGTTTTCTTGGCATAACCCCACGTGGAATTAGCCCAGAAAACAACTCTGCTGTGCTCCAATAGAGGTGCAGGCGAGGCAGTTGCACTATCCCCATGTAGATGAGGAGTTCGATGAACTTCATCATTTCATCTGGGGAAACATTTTTCCACGATCCGTCGCGTTCAGAGTACGTTGGTTTCTCGAGAATGTGCGCCCAGGCGTATTTATTTGTGTTCTCGCACATCGCTGTGACGAGTTCCGTTGAGAAAAACAGCAAGAAGAAATCCAGGGCTCCAAGAAACCGACTAGCGCTGCTCCATCGCGCCATGCCCAGATCGACTCCCGGTTTCTGTCTTGGACAAAAGTGCACGCGCTGTGCAGCGGGAGGCATTGAATCGTGCCCAAAGAAAGTAGAGACTCTGCGGATAGAGATAATAACTGTGACAACACGCTCGGTCCCCTCGCAGGCGCTCAACAACGCGATAAATCCCGTAAAAAAACTCACCGTCGAGCTGACGATGACGTTCCCGGTGTGTTGAGGGCCTCATCGCTGTCGGTGCTAAACTCCGATGATAGGGAATCTTCTTCAGAGCCACTGCTACCACTTTCCTCCGAAAAATCTACTGTAACAACACTAGAATCATGAGAAATTTGACTATTCCTTTCAGACCTGGCGCACGACGACGACGCCATGGCTGCCGCTATCGCCAGGCGCTCGCTTATCTTCCAAGCAAGGTCAAAATCGGCGTGTGTCCGGAAACCAAAACCGAAACTGACACGGGTTGTGTGCTTCCTGAGCTTCATTTCAGATGGCGCCTCATGTCCATACGGCGCGTTGGGGCGCGGGAATTTCAAATTGAACCCATCGATCAGATTGATCGAAATTGAATAGGCGCGGTAAGGAAAGTTAAGAGCAAAAGTGCATTGTGCTGCCGTTTTTCGTTTTCGTCTCAAGTTCACGACGAGTCGATTAGTGAACAGTATGCGCGGACATGTATAATCGCTGGATTAGCACGACCAGTCTAGCTTCGGCGTTTGTTTCATGGTTGCTAGGCTGCCATGGCGACTTCCGCCAATCATGGATTTTGCTCGTTTTAGTTTGATTTAATCGATGTAAGTGAAAAAACATGTTCGAATTACCTGAAACTTTTTATCATTAAATATAAAGGAGACCAACCAAATGTGCCTAAATAGTTTCGTTTATTTGGATTTTCCGTTTAAGCAAGTTTTGTTTAATCAGAGTCCACTTTATTTCTTCGACGGAGCCGGCTGTAAGGAATCGTTCTGACTCATTGAGTAATGCTTGAACGTTATTGTTGGGCTCCTCTTGCACACCACAAGGTGTTTGCAACACTTGCCTTTATCTGGTTAGCCTTCAATACAGTTTTTTAAGTACTCCTTAGAAAAAATTAGATATTTCATGCTCCTCAGGGCTCTCTTGAGTACTCAAATCCTGTTGAAAACTTGTTGCACATCTACAGATGCATCTACAACTACTGGATTTCAACAAAGAGGTCAGTATAAAATCTTGAACAAGCTACCCCCCCCCCCCCCCCCCCGCCTCCTACGGGAAGATCAACAAACAAGCTTTGCAGGAAGAGGCTAGGTCACAGACCAAAGTTTAGGATGACAGCAGAAGCAACTTCAAGAAGAATGTGCACCTGTGATTGTAGTGAATGGTTCACTGAATACACGTACGTTTACTATTTTCACAGAACCGAAGGGAATCTGCATGGGAAATTTTACTTGCATCGGCAGGGGAAGTAGGGACCCTGACTCCTGACGAACTGATCCTTAAAACAGCAGCAGGTGGTCAAGGACTCTAATAACGCGTGGGGTCTTGAATTGAGAGCACGGCTCTTGAAACACACTGAGACAGAAGATGTGGTTGAACCAACCAAACATTGTGTGCATTAATTCAACTACTTTCACATCGATATCGCCAGCTGGATCAAATGCGTCACTAGTGAGACGTTAAAGCAACGTTATACAGTAGAATCTTGTTCACACGTTCCCTTTTTGTACAATCTCCTGGCTCCTATGCTCAAAATCGTGAAAGGTAGAAATGCTCCCATAGAGCTTTGTGTCAATGCATTCCACTTAACATGTCCCGGAAAATACGATCATTCGGCAGCAACGTTAGGCATTGCGGCAAACTGAAGTCATATGATGTTTTGCTGGTGAAAATTGGAGTGACCCTCGCCCTATTTCAAATTCAGGCAAAAATTCATGAGTTACAAAAATTGCGTGGAGAAAGTTTCCTGCGACAATGCACTGCGCGAAAAAAAAAAACAAATAAGCAGAAGGTGCCATAAATCAGGATTTTCACGCAAGCAACTAAAAGCTTTGAGAAGTACTAATTATGACTTTGACAATAATGCCACGGGG